AATTATTAGGTTGTAATAATATGTTTTATTCTATTATACCATGTTATGCTATAATAATAATGCAGGTTTTTTTTTTTTTGTTATCTTAAAAATATGTAAAATATTAATTAAAATTAAGAAAATTTTTATAAAGAATTAATTAAGAATGATAATTTTATATTTTAAATAAAATAATGTGTACAAAAGATCTGCGCAGGAGGAAAATGAAGCCTTCATCATGTTTACGTTTCAGACAAATTGCACTTACCGTTTCATTCTGAAGTAGGTGCTCATAATTCTCAAATTACAAAAATATGTACTTAAATTTCATGTAGTTTGAAAATATGTACTTAACTCTTAATTGATAAAAATGTACAATTTTTGTTTTTATGAGATAAAAATATGTACTTTAACCCCCCTAACTAATAAAAAAAAAGTAATGATACAAAAATAATATTTTTATATAATTTTTATCTACTATTAAATAAATAAATACATATGCACTTGGCCCGTGTGGCCCAGTGACTAGAGTCACTGAAAAGTGCACATCCCCCTCCCTTAGGCGGGTTTCGAACCCGCTCCATGACAAAACTGTTCAAAAAAAAAAAAAATAAATACATATAATATAAATAATCTTAAATGAATGAAAACTTTAATTATTAAATGATAAGTAAGGTTATATAAAAAAATTTTATTGTAATCTTCTTTTTCTTTTTCTTTTTTATTTTTTTAATTTTTTAAATAAAGGAGTTAAGATCTACTTTTAGAATGTATTTGTGTAAGTTTTATATAAATTAACATCTTGATTTTCAAATTTAAAAAAGGTTTTTTCATAGGAAAAATTCAAAACTTAGAAAAATGATATTTTATATTAATATGTCTCAAACCATATGAATTTGAACATCATTGTTATGGATTTATAACTTATCTTTTGCTATTCTTTCTTTTCCTTTTTTTTAGTTATCTTTTTTTTTTAAAAAAAAAATTAGAGAAGTGATTGGCCATAGTCAGGTGTAGCTGTATATATTAATTTTTAAATTAGATTTTATGTAAATATATTCATATTAGTGTTGATTTTGACATTTTCAAAATTCTATCAATTTTTTTTTGCTTGACATTCTTAAAATTTCTACCTATTAACAAATTATTTAATGATATTATTATTATTATTCAATATAACTTATATCAAGTGTAAAATATTATTTTAATATTTTATTATTTATTTATAATAATGAATTTTTAACTATATTTTTTAAAGCTTTTTTAAACCTAAATACATCCTAATAATTGACAAAGTAGTTTGGGAAAGGCTAGAATTGTAATAACTTCGGTACAAACCACGCAGAGGAAAACACCAACCTTAAATTTCTTTTTTTTTTTTTTATGTCAGTTGCGTA